GTCCGCCGGCACTGCCGCGCTCTCCTCCGCCACCCCCGCTGCGGCGGCCTCCTCTCCGCCCCCGGCCTCCCTCTCGTCTGGCCCCGGCCCCCCCTCCGGGCTGCCGCCCCAGTCGTCCGCGGGGTGGAACCAGGGGCGCGACGCGGTCTTGCGCTCGCGGCGCCGCTTGTTTTGCTGGAAGTGCCAGTCGAGGTGAGCGCTGTACTCGGTGCGCTCGGCAAAGCGCCGCCCGCAGCGCTTGCACTGGTGCGGAAACGCGCTGTAGAGCGCCGCCACCACGCCCTCGCGCCGCACGCGCAGCTCCTCCGCCACAAAGGCCCGCCCCACCTCCTCCGTGCCTGCTTCTGCATCCAGTACCGCCGGCCCGGGGGCAGCGATTGATGCGGGGGGAGCTGCCGCCGGGCGAGGCGGGGCGGGGCCGGGGGGCGGCGGGGGCTGTATCTGTGCTGCCAGCAGGGAGGAGAGCAGGGTGAGCTGCTGCAGGTCCAGTGGGGGGGGGGGAGGGGCCACGGTCGGCGGGGGCGGCGTGCTGGTGCCGCTGGCCTGCGGAGCTGGCGGGAAGCCCGGGGGAGGGGGGGTGCGAGGGCGGGGAGGGGGGCCAGGCGGGAGGGGCGGGGTGGGGGCAGCGGGCGGCGCTGCGGCGGTGGGCAACAGCGAGTGCAGCGCGGCCAAGAGCTGCTCCGCCTGCTGGAAGGCCTCCGCCGACGGCGCGCTCACAGGGGAAGGGGCAACCGCAACAGGGGCAGCCAGGGGGGGCCCGTAGCCAGGAGGAGGGCCCTCGGAGAGGGGGGCATGCTGCGCAATGGCTGGAGTTGCGGGGTACTCTGTCTCTTGTCGAGGGGGGCCTGCTCCGGGCAGGGGCCAGGGGGGCGGCTCGCGGGCAGGGGGCCCTCTGTCCCGCTCTCCTCCGCGGCTGCCCCGCCGGCGCTTGCTTCCGCCGCCCTTCCTCTTCCTGCGCAGGCTCTCCTCGTGCGCGAGGCCATGCTCCGGGTACTGCCGCAGCGGCGCCACTGGTGGCTGCAGGGGAACAGCAGGCAGGGGGGGGAGCGGAGGAGCAGCGGGGAGGGTGCCGCCAAGCGGAAGGGCGGCGTCAGCATTAGCCCGAGGGAAGGGCCCCTCGCGCAGCTTGGGGTTCACATGAATCTCATGCCCCAGCGCCACAGGCAGCGCCGACGTTGGCCGGGCCCGCCGCGGGTCGGCAGAGGGCGGAGTGGAGGTGGTGCGCGCCGGAGGGGCTTCGGCATCAATGCGGGCGAGCTCATTGTCGATGCTCTGCAGCGCCTCCAGGTCAAAGATGCGCCCGTCGGTCCAGGTGCGGAAGAGGTGCTTGAGCGCCTGGCGCTGCGCGGGGGCCACCTGCAGGTACGCCGACGTGAAGACCTGCAAGCACACATACACGCGCCACCACGTCAGCAGGGAGGCCAGCAGCGGCCAGCGCCCAGTGCAGGACGGGCCAAAGGCAGGTGAAGCAGGCGGCTGTACGCACCCACATGCTGGGAATGCTCTGCGAAACGCCACTGGTCATGAGGGAGATGCTTCTGGTGTAACTCAGAACTGAGAAGCAAAGCGCCTGGTCTGGGGGGTAGAGAAGTAGCACGCCACCCTGGCACAGGGCACTCAGCCACTGCGGCACTGATGGCAGCATTTTCGACGAGCTTCCGTGGCGTCTTGCGAAACGGCCGCCAAGCAAGGCGTCGCCTGATTGTAAACAGAGCGGTGCAGACTGCGGCTTGGCAACCACTGCTTGGCCGCACTCATTTTATAATGTCTGCACTGACGGCTAGTACCCAAGATTTTTTGCAGCAATGCGTGACGCGCTTACGTGCACAATCTGGGGCCGGAAGTGTGCGACATAGTCAACGCCGCGCAGATTCTTGCAGATGCTGTCCAGCAGGTACAGCGCCGGCAGCTTGTACGCCGGGGCCGCCTGCACGCAGCGCACACCATCAGCAGCAATCAAGCAGCGCAGGCCAGGCAGCAAGGGCAGGCCAGGGAGAGGCCAAAGGTGCAGCTTTTGGTCACGCCAAGTGTGAGCGCCAATGGCTGTGCCTTGTCCAAGCCCCAGATACCTGCCACTCGCGCCTGCCCGGGCCCCGTGCTACAAGCCCCTTCCTGCCACGCCACTCAATCGGTGCCTCACCTGAAGAATGTGGCGGCAGATGCAGGCTGCGATGGCGGCAGAGGCGTGCTTGTTCTCGTCTGCCAGGATGGTGAGGCTCGTGATGATGGGCTTGCTGTTGTACGTCAGCTCTGCCAGCTCGCGCTGGTACCCCGCTACCAGCTCCGCCGCGCCCTCCCCCGCCCCGCCGGCCATCTGCACTGCGACCACCACAAGAGCCTCCTGCACTTCTGCCCTAGTAGGCGTGCCAGGCCCTCCACCACCGCTAGCAGAAGGCTACCTAGCATCTCACGTATAGGTCAGATCGCGCACCACCACCGATGCATCAAAGGCTTGCAATGCTCACAGGCCTGCATCAGAGCCTGGACTCGGAGACTTCAGCAGAGACTTCTTTAATCGGCTCTGAGTCTAGGCGGGCGGTGCCTTCGAAGTTCGACACAAGAGGCAATCAAAGAACTTCAAAGCGCATCGCCATTTCCTCGAAGCCTGATTCTCTAACTGTGTCGTCGACACATTGTGCCGTCTCTTAATACCTGACGTCGCAGTGTACCTGTCAGCAAGCTTGTGGACGGCCGGTTCAAGGCGGCTTACATGGCGTTTTTGCCAGCGCCGCTCTAGAATCAGGCACGAAGGCGCCCTCGAAAGGAACGTCCAATCTCACGTCATGCTGGTCGAAAATCGAGAAAGCTGGCCCATGCTTGAACTTGAAGTTGAAGGCCGGAGCTCAGCTGAAATCACATGCAGAGGAACGGCTGGGTTAAGCATCGTGGACCTGGAGGCTGGTGTAGCAGCAAATGTTGCGATTGCTAGTCCAATTTTCGAACTTCAAGTCGCCAACAACTGCATTCTGCACATAATCTTGCTGCTCCCACGCCCTCACTGGTGCTGCTGCTCCTGCCGGCAGCTCTCTTGTGCACGCCTGCATCCCCCTCCTCTGGCGCTACAGCTGAGCTGCCACTCTGGTGGCTCTGCCTTGACTCCTCCCTTCCTGCAGTGCTGGCCTGCCCTGCCTTCCGCCATGGCTGCTGATGCTGATGGAGGCCCCCACCCCGACGGCACTGCCAATGGTGCGGACGCGGGGTCGGTGTACCCCCCCCCCACCAACCCGATGGTCACGGCGCTGCTGACGGACATGTACCAGATCACCATGGCCTACGCCTACTGGAAGGCGGGCAAGCACGAAGAGCCCTCCGTGTGAGGCCCCCTCCCTCCTCCCTTCTGCAAGTGCAGGAAGCTGCTCACAGGCTGCCCCACCTCGGGCGCCAGCACTCCATTGCAATGCTGGCGGGCAGCAGCTCCCCCCCCCCCTCTTCTCCCTGTTGCTGCCCTCATCCCCCTGTCCCTTTTGCGCCTGCTGCTGCTGGGGCCCTCGAGGGGGCTGCCCCGGGTTGTGGAGGGAACCTCCTGCTGCCCCCCCTGGCTGATGGTCCTCGTTGTGGCTTGTGCCAGGTTCGATCTGCTGTTCCGCAAGAGCCCCTTTGGCGGGGAGTACACCGTGTTTGCTGGCCTGGAGGAGTGCATCCGCTACGCCGCTAACTTCCGCTTCACCCCCGCTGACCTCGCCTACCTGCGCACCGTGCTGCCCTCCACCACCGAGGTCAGTCCCTCCCCCAAAGAGCGGCCTCCGTGTTTGTTCACATATGCCCTCCGAGAGGTGTGGCCCTTGTGTGATGTTCATGAAGCTCCTCAGCGCCCCCCCCTGGCAGGCCCTCTGCTTAGCCCCACTGCGACAGTCACATCTGGATCCAGCACTTGTCAAACTTCTAGGCAGGTGGTTTCCTGTTGCCTGCTCTTGCGCGGCTCCACCTTGCCTGCCGCAACCTTGCCACCCTGCCTCGACTCACAGTGCCCTCCCCCCTCCGGGGCTGCTTCTCCTGCTCTGCTGCAGCCTGGCTTCTTTGACTACCTGGCGGCCCTGGACGCGCGCGCGGTGCGCATCGAGGCCATTGCGGAGGGCAGCGTGGTGTTCCCGCGCGTGCCGCTGATGCGCGTGGAGGGCCCCCTGCTGGTGTGCCAGCTGCTGGAGACCGTGTTCCTCACCCTCGTCAACTTCGCCTCCCTCGTGGCCACCAACGCTGCGCGCCACCGCGCCGTCGCCGGCCCCGACAAGACGCTCCTCGAGTTTGGCCTGCGCCGCGCACAGGGCCCCGACGGCGGCATCTCCGCCTCGCGCTACGCCTTCCTCGGCGGCTTCGACGCCACCAGGTACGCTCTCAGCCCCCCGTGCCGGCTGGCGCCCCTGCCTGCTCCCGCTGCGCTGGCGTTGGACTGCGGCGCTGCCGAGGATGTTTCTGCGAAGTGCTGATGGCCGCTGTGGTGTGTGCGCAGCAACGTTGAGGCGGGCCGCCTGTTTGGCATCCCTGTGCGCGGTACGCACGCGCACGCGTTCGTGAGCTCGTTCCTGAGCCTGGCCGACCTGCCCGAGCGCAGCCTGCCCCGCGCTGACGGCACGCGCTGCGACGACTTTGTCAGTCTCGTGCAGGGCAAGCTGAGGCAGCTCAAGGTCAGGGCCTTCCGGGCGCTTCGGGGATGATCTGCGTCTCTAAGCTGTAAAGGCGACGGATGTGAAACAAGTGAAAAGGTTGAACGGATTCAAGACGTTAGCAAACTCGAGAACTGACGTGCAAAGTTTTCTGCAGTCTCTCTGTATGCGCGCCTGGCACCGCTCCTTGACCGCCTTGCTGTCCGCCCTGCGGTTGTCCCCTGATGGCCCCACGTTGGCTGTACAGGAGACGCCTGCGGTGGCGGGCTGGTTTGGCGAGACGAACGAGAGCGAGCTGGCCGCGTTCATCTCGTACGCGCAGGCCTTCCCGCGCGCCTTCCTGGCCCTCGTGGACACCTACGACGTGAGCGCCGCCCCCCTTCGCTGCCCTCTGCTCACCTTGGTGCAGCTGCAGTGCCGCCTCAGTCGTGCCCAACGGTTGTGCCCTCGTTCCCCCTTCGCATCCTTACGACCTGCCACGATCATCTGCGCGCTGAGCCCGAGTTGGCATTGCCTGTGCCTCGCGCAGGTGATCCGCAGCGGGCTGCCCAACTTCGTGGCGGTGGCGCTGGGCCTGGCGGAGTGCGGCTACCGCGCGCTGGGCGTGCGCCTCGACTCGGGCGACCTGGCGTACCAGTCCAAGGAGGCGCGCAAGCTGTTCCGCGGCGTGGAGGCCGCCTTCCACGTGCCCGGCTTCGGCAGCATTGGCGTGACGGCGAGCAACGACATCAACGAGAGCACGCTGGAGGCGCTGAACAAGCAGGGCCACGAGATCGACACGTTCGGCATCGGCACGCACCTGGTGACGTGCTACGCGCAGCCCGCGCTGGGGTGCGTGTACAAGCTGGTGGAGGTGCGCGGGCAGCCGCGCATCAAGCTCAGCGCGGACATCGACAAGGTGACCATCCCCGGGAAGAAGCGCCCCTTCCGCCTCTACGGCAAGGAGGGCGTCGCGCTGGTGGACCTGCTGGTCGGCGACGACGAGCCGCCCCCGCGTGCAGGCGAGCGCATCCTGTGCCGCCACCCCTTCCTCGAGTCCAAGCGCGCCTACGTCGCGCCGCAGCGCGTGGAGCCGCTGTACCACCTCTACTGGGCCGGCGACAAAACAGGTGCGTCCGGGCAGAAGAGGCGCCACCTTGGACATACCAGCGCGGCCACGTCCCGCTGCAGCTGCAGGGCAGGACGAGATGCGGGCGAGGACGCGACGGGTGTTTCCGCTTCGTGCTGACGGCAGGTGGTGGCGCGTGCGTGCAGGGAAGGGCGTGCAGCCGCTGCCGGCGCTGGCCGCGCTCAAGGAGCAGTGCAAGCAGGAGCTGGCGGCCATGCGCAGCGACCACCTGCGCGCGCTCAACCCCACGCCCTACAAGGTGAGCGGGTGTCGGTTAGGGAGAGGGCCACTTTTTGGATGGCGCAACTCGAGGGGTGTGTGGATGCATGTGCTTCTCTAAACCCACCGTCGTCAGGCGGGTGACGAATGGCGGCACTCGTTTGTGCAGGTGAGCGTGACGGCGCGGCTGTACAATTTCATCCACGACCTCTGGCTCAACGAGGCGCCCGTGGGAGAGCTCGCGTAAGGCCGGCCCTGAGGACTCGCTCTCCTCATAGCGTTCGCTCGCTACTGTAGGTTGTTCTCTAGTAGCCGGCCACCATGTGAGCGAATCATTTTAGTACAGTCGTAACAATTAGAGTGCCATTGTGTAGCATAGCCCATCTAGGTGTAAACAGGCAAAGTAAACGAGAGAACGTGTATCACTGCAAATCTAGGTAGCGTGTACGGAATTGCTAGCAACAAAGTCAGATAAGTGAAAATCGCGGGAGCGAGACTAGCTTGAGAGATTCATTGCGTGAACATGAACCGGAGTTTTAATTGTTGCCAGGAATGACACAATCAAATGGTGGTTGCACCAATGCGACCTAGCTCGGGTTTCGATTTTGAGAATTGGTGATCGGATGTGGTTGATCGAAAATCGACATGTCGACCTTAACACTGGATTGGTGTCTAGAGCAGATTTACACTGTTCCGGTACATCATATGGATCAATTCAACAATTACAATTTGTGTACACTTGATACGGTCATGCCATGCACGTTGATCCCTTCGGTACGCTCAATAAGCAATGTTTCCACTTGGTGGGAACCCGCCCCCGGCTATGACCAACAGAGTCCCTGAACCAGAGAAAATGATCGGGGCCCGTGCCCCCAAAAAGCTTACATCGAAGTCGGGCCCGGCTCGCGTGGGCCCCCTACTCGACTTCGGTGCATGTGTAAACTCCTGATATTATGGGTTTTTAGTAGCTTCGGAGCTTGAAAGCAATGTGCTGCGAACACTAAGGCACAAAAGCTCCTCAAAAGTTGCTCTGCCAGGGGCCCTTTGATTTCCAGAATTTCGTGAGGATCCAAATATGCGGGCAAGTGTGAGGACGTTTCGAGCTCATTTAGCCTGTGACCTCGCATGAGGCCTTGGGCCCTCAAACCAGAGGGGAAGGGGGCCCAACGGGCCCGGCCCAATTGAGTCGGAAGGCCCATGCACAGAGCGCGTGAGTGGCGCCTTTTGAAAAAGCTGTGCGAATCACTGCCTTAAGGTCGGAACATATGTAATGTAATGTATATATGCGAGCGACAGATAAACTACCTCTCATTTCCCAACATGGTACGTAAAATATGAATAGATGTACGGATTATTTGCATTGGTCGGTTGAAAGCACAAAAGATATGCTATTTTCCTGACATAACCATCCCAATCGAGGTCATTTGGGCCGCGGGCCAAAATTGACGCACAATAGCTGAACAACGCATGATCGAGTCGATTCCGCAACGGGTTTTTATGAAATTGATTAACATATTTGGACCTAGGTAGCCCGTTTTACCGAGAATTCAATTGTTGGAGCTGTTTAGGAGACAACCCTCGAGACAACCAGTTCAACGGAAGTTCCCCTTTTCACGAACATCCAAAGAATCGAGCATGAAACCCGCAAAGTTTTTTTTTGCCCTTCTTTACGGTCACAATTGCAAATCCGGAAGCGGTGAAGTCCTCCAGGGGACATACGCCGCCTCACCAAAATGGTTTAGCCGCTCACCGGTTGGTGTTTGGCCCCCCAAACCGGCTTGACAATCCGGCCAGCATGCTAAAAGATTGATCAGCCGGCTTCGTGTCGAAGCCCGCAGCTAGCAAAATTCGGTAAAGGTCTTGCGCCCTCCTGTCCACATGCGGACTCTCCGGATGTGATGTGCAGATGGATCATTTTCGGATTTGCGATTGCTCAGAACTCCTCAAACAGAATTAGCGGAATTGTGACTCTGATCGATCCAGATGCTCAATACGTGGAAAGAATGCTGAAACTCGCGTTTGGTTAGCAGTCGGCTCCTTGAATGAGCAACTTTCGTTCGACCTTATAGATCATGTGCTCCAATTCAGGAGCCAGCAAAATGTTAGTTTGGGCGGTGTCCTAACAGCCTGCAGCGTCTACAGCACTTTATGACGTGAGACGAATTCGCCTCTGTACCATAGAATATGCAACCGTCATGCAACAGGGTACGCAACAGCTATGGGTATGCGACCTTGCCATCTAAACAACGTCTGGTTTCATTGAACAGCATGTCGCTTTTAGCCTGGAAACAAGGCCGCCGCCAATATTTCTTCAATACATCTAGGTGGTCTGCGCCCGCATTGCTGATCTTTGGGTAGAATTCCAGGGAATTTCCAGCTAGAGAAATGCCCATAAGAAGTAGTCACGGTCGCTCTCCGATTCGTTGAGGTGAGGAGAACTCGTCCTTGCTTCTCACACCACTTGTTGATAGTGAGTGCAATCGTCGCGCACCTAGCTTATAGAAGCTCGAAGTCTTGGAAACAGCAACCGTCTAGGTGGCAGTTTGTCAACCTTCGAATCTGGTAAAATACCTTTAAAGTCGTTGAACGGACAAAACGGAGCTCTTTGTTGATCGAGGGATTGAAGCGCTTATCTTTTGATCGAAATCAATGGGCTAAAAAATATAAATTTAATCGAATAAGCGCAATTTCAATAATTGAAGAGCCCTCGATCTAGAGAGCGGACCTCTTATGTAGCATTGATACAGCAACCATTTTAGAACTCGCATGAGTTCACCCGAAGTCGCTTGAAGTCGTTTCCAAGGGTTGAAATCGTAAGCTATGGTCAAATGTGCACTTGGTACTTGGCTTTGAGTACTTCGCCATTATAGCGTTTCGCTTTCTGCAAGTAAATGTTACCATTTTGAAAAGGAGACGGGTAGACGAGCAGATCGTTACACGGGGTTGCATCTGGATGGTGCTCATCTCATGCCGAGATTAAAGGTTCGAGCCGCGTTCTTGCTCTTACGACTCTCGTTGGGTTTTTCAAGTGCGTCCCAAGCCACTCGGGCAATATCAATAGAACTAATATTGCCACTGGTTGCTGTTGCCGGACACAGCAAAGCTCTTGCTTTCTTAGTTCCGTCCGTGTCACCGGCCAGGCGGTCCGTAACCTCTTTCCACAAGCTCATGTGTCTTAACCGTGGCAAAAGTTGCATCCTTTATGACCACACCATACGGTTGTCAACATCTAGAGGCTATATGTATTCCTTGACCCGTTTAGTTGACTTACCGCTAGTCAAACAATGCTTCTTGAGCTGGACACTTCTCTGTGCCGAGAAAGGGTTGTGCGTATCACCCTGAAAAAGTATTCGTATTTGACGCATACCATCTCTGGACAATTGATCGGTAACTTGGACATCCTTTTTTAACAATGCTAGCAAACGCCGTCAGTTGTGGCGTTGCCTTGTATAATACCCCTGTTCGTCTTTTCCCGTTTCTGTGACGGTTGGACAGGGTCACACGCTGCCTGTCTACTTCACATGTGCGGAAACCATGCGAAGCTTCTCAGCACGCCTTGGGATCACCTCAGCAAGAGCGCCTCTCAGAAAAATTGCGTCTTCTTGCCTTCTTCCCAAAGACTGATTAGTTAGGACTCATCTTG